GTTGAAATTTTCACTCAATGTATACTATTGCCGAATGGTAACCTTTTCCGTGTTTGGAGCTTGCGGAAAAGGGGGAGGTCAATTTGTGAAGCAAAAAACAAAATGAAATTATTTACTTCAAAAGAGAAATACAAAAAAAAGTTTTTCATTATACCGTTTGGTGTTCTTTCACTTCTAAACGTACACTAAATTCAAATAAGGTATGTTTAACAATTCTGTATCAGCTTTTCAAAGTACTAAGGTGAGATGGGGAACACAGTTTTGCCATACCTTCGCAAGTGTAATCAGGAAATTGCCCCCATTTATCGCCTCTACCACCACATATGAAAGCAAAAATATTCCTTTCGCTTGAAATTTGTGTTCACAATCGAAAATCTATTCAAATAATGGTTAATAAAAATTTGATGAAGACTTTAATTGTTCAATATTCAAAATGAAATATCTTGGTGTGTTTCTTTAAAAATAATTATAAACATATTAATGTGATATATAAAATGGAAAAAAAGGAAAGTTTTATGCCAACGGGTAAATTAAAAACATAACATAGGAAATAAAACATACCGTTCATGTTCAATCCTAACAGAAAACAGAAATGCAACCTATCAATAATATATATAACCCGGTTATTCCTTCGAGATTATTCAATGATTAACACATTAACATTATGAAGAAAAGAGTACGACGCACCAATATGAACTCAAAAACAGCGGTTGTCCGTTGTTGTCGTCTGCCTTATTTGTTTGTTGTTTGTAGTTTCAAGCATTTATCAGACCATCGGTTTTCTCTTTTGAATTGTTTCATATTTTGTCATGTCAGGGCCTTTTATATATCTTACTATACGATATGGGTTTCTCTCATTGTTGAAACCACTTCGCTGGTCTCGTGGTGGCGTGATCGCATCGAGTGCGGAAGGTCGTGGGTTCGAACCTCGGCCGGGTAAAATCAGACTTGAAAATTGGTATTTGCTGCTTCTTCTCTAAGCACGTGGCATTTAACAGTAAGAGCAAAGAATGGTCGGCTCGGAGTCAAAATAATGTGTCGGGGTAGAGTGATTTAGTCTTCTTGCGGACTGTTACCTTGTGAAGAAGCACGTTAACAATCAAGCTTAGCGTGTCAATCTAGTAAGTACAATACCAGGTTCATATCTATTTATGTAGTTTATTGAATATCGACTTTAAATAAAACTTTGAATTGAATTGAATATCATATTCTCATGTTCTCGTCCTGTATATACATTCTCTAATACGGTATTATCTTGTATCAATTTACTTGTCCCTGTGGTTTTGTCGTCTTTCATTAATTTATTTTAGAACATACTCACCCATTCTCGTCCAATGGAAAATCAGTATTTTCCCTTCAATCTTTCATATTACATGGCTTTCCATGCACTATGAAATGCTATACATGAATGAATTTTCATTGTAGATTAATTATAAAAGTGAAATCTTAAATATTGAACTTACGACGTGTACAATGCCCCGAGGCAATTTCCATAGGAAGAGATCAAAAGAAAAAAATCATGAATACTGTTGTTTGTCTAAATTATAATTGAAAATAGGAAAATAGAACTATAAACGCGTTTTAAGTTGAGATTTCAATATTGTAAACGTTATATAATGGTACATATATTTGGAAAAAAAATGAAAAGGGCGCAAAGGTGTAGGGTAAAATAATATTTAATGTAAATTTTATACCATAACTTAAAATCAATGTTTTTTTTTTTTCATAAAGAAACAATGACTGTTGATATAAAAAAGCAAAGGAAGTTTATGAAAAAGAAACAATACAGAAATGATCGTTATTTCAAAATTTATTGATGAAGTTTTGTCATTATTCAAAATTATACAATTTTAGAAAAGCTGATTTATATAGCTTTGTGTATTTTTTTTTATGAAGGAATTTTAGATATATCAGTATTAAATTGTACTTGAAGCAGAAGAAATCTCATAATAATTTATCTATGTTTGTTATCAAAAATCTATATCATTGCTATTTTATTCCATCTGTTGAAATTACCATTAAATTATTTACATCAATTTTACTAACCATGTTAATTAACACTTTAAATGAGCTCTTATCAAGATAGATTATTACAATGGGAGAGGCTAATTTTGTAATGTCACTCGAAGGTGTGAATATGTTCTAAATTGGTCAGACAATACTTGGTCATGTTTTATGAACATTCAAAACACTCGGCTACTCCTCGGGCTTTAAATATTCATTAAACATGACCAGGTATTATCTAACCAATACACAGAATCGGTTGTGAATTAAACTCAGTAAAAGAAATATTAGTTTAACTTTAATTTTCCTATTGTAAACTTTCAAATATGTATGAGAAGCAGCATTCGGGTATCGTCTGTATGTGGAGTAAGTTTCCCAATTGATACATCATTTCAGAACTTGCGTTTCCTATTATTTTTTCTTTCGTAATATGTTGCATGCTTGCTAGGAAGCCTTTGAACCAACGATTCCTAATTGTAAAGTTTAAAATCTTCGCTCCGAAAGTTTCACGGACGCTATTATAATTGTGTTTAATGCTATGGAATATCTGTATGACAGATGACCACGCATATGTTCCATTTGTCGAAGTCACAATCTTCCATGGTAGTATCAAGTTATCATATTTTTTTGTTGATTGCAGGTTTTTTTTGTTGACGTAAGATCTTTTTTTTTATTTTCAATGCATTTATTTAGAACTTTCTCATAAAATTGGGGCGATTTAGAGCTTGTCATTGTTAAGACTCTAGCCAATCGTTGTAGACCATAATTATGTTGACCCAAAGATGCCTTTTTGTTTTTGTTGCTGGTTGCTCTTTGGTGGGGTTCGTGTTGCAGTCTTTAGTTTTGTAGACTGTTGCTGGCAAAACTAAGCTTTTTGTCATTTTAAGAATAAAAATTATATTGTCCCTTTTCGGTCTTAAAATCGCAGTGAATAATCAAATTAAATGAAAGACCTTTCGCTTAATTTTGCCAAAACTAAAGAATACAGAAATAAAGGACCCTCTTCCAGATCCTCATATATATATGATATACATGTAAATAGGTATCTTTTTTATTACCAAATAAATAAATTTGGTGTATTTACTGTCTTCTGATTGGTTAAAAGTATTTCCTTTATTTTCAATGTTGTCAATTTTTATGGCGACACGCCCACTCTGACGTTGTGTATTCATACGCCAACATGTGTGTACGTTGTTATTGTTAATATAAATAATATAAAAAGCTCTTTGAGCCTAATTTTTGATAGAAATTTATTTATAATGAATGGCTATTATTTATTTTGAATTTATTGAACCATAAAATTAATTTTTCACTCTTCACATTTTACATAATCCGCTTCTTCGCGGATTATGTAAAATGTGAAGAGTCAAAAATTAATTTTATGGTTCAATAAATTCAAAACAAATAATAGCCATTCATTAAATACTGAATTTCTTACATAAAGCATAAAGGTTGAAATCAGGGTATCTCTAAATATGTACTAACTAATTAGCAAAACATAATGAGTCTAAAACGAAGTAGCATGCAAACCTATTAACGAACCTACCAAATAACAGTCTGATGACTTCGATGAAAGAAGAAAGAATAGAAAGACAAACAATGGTCAAAAGAAAGACAAACAGAAAATAACAGTCTGATGACTTCGATGAAAGAAGAAGAAAGAATAGAAAGACAAACAATGGTCAAAAGAAAGACAAACAGAAAATAACAGTCTGATGACTTTGATGAAAGAAGAAGAAAGAATAGACAGACAAACAATGGTCAAAAGAAAGATAAACAGAAAATAACAGTCTGATGACTTTGACGAAAGAAGAAGAAAGAATAGACAGACAAACAATGGTCAAAAGAAAGATAAACAGAAAATAACAGTCTGATGACTTTGACGAAAGAAGAAGAAAGAATAGACAGACAAACAATGGTCAAAAGAAAGATAAACAGAAAATAACAGTCTGATGACTTTGACGAAAGAAGAAGAAAGAATAGACAGACAAACAATGGTCAAAAGAAAGATAAACAGAAAATAACAGTCTACAATACATTATACAGAAATCCAAAGATCAAAAGATCAAAATGGCTTTGTTTTGACATTTGTTCCATATGTCACACATTATTTTGGTACTTAATTTTCTATTTCAAACTGTCTTATTATATCGATTTCTATTGTGTACATTTCGTACGCAGCATGCATATTTTATTTATTCAATTGTAACGATCTCGAAATTCGCTATGACTTTAAATGTCCGAAATATTTGTTAACATTTGAAACATGTAAGATTATAAATTTATATTTGTCAATAACCTTTTAAACTCTAAGCTTATGCAAACATCTTACAAGTTCGTTATGCAACTTTTATTCGGTCATATCAAATACACACATAATTCAATTGATTGATGGATTGATCACCTATCGTAATTCTCTTTGATGAATTAAATCACTTAATTATATAATTTCTGTTTACAACATGACCCCAACAAACTGTGTTGTTATAGCAACTTTATTTGGTATTTAAAGAAAGATAAATTTATATTCAGGGACTCCGTTTGGATATGCCAACGAGAGCACATGAACTGCGTTCGGATTTTCCATCGCAATCATATATATTGTTTTTGGCTTAAAATAACTAATTTGTAACACTGATATTTTATATTTGGACTTTATTAAATGAATTTGGACTTTACCAATTTGTTTATGTTTATTGTATTGAACTGCCGACTTGTGTGTGAATAAAGAGCTAGTACCCCGCATTGTGAATCGTTCCCATAGACGGAATCCCACTCAAAGCCATTCCGGCAATATTTATTAGGGAAAGTGATAAATACTTTCTCATACATAACGTTCCAAATTATTCGCGGTTTCGGCACTGAATTAGTTTCTTATATAATTTTGTTATCTTTGGATGAGACTAATGTTTGCATACGTTTGGGTAGTATTCCACTTATCATAATGTTTTCTATTTGGCTTGATTATGTTTATGTTGTCTGTTGTGTTTTTGAAATAAGTCTGTCTAATTTTATTCTATAATATGTAAACATACTAACTAAGCTTGTTATAATTCGTAATAAAAGGATCGAATAAAAGAAGAATCGAAAGATGAAACAAATAATTTCTCTTTCATTATAAAAGCGTTTTCGGATTAAAAAAGTTAAGTTTAAGTTTAGTAATTATATTTAAAAAATCAAAAACTATTCGAGTATATACGTAACACAAATGCAAAACAGTCATAATATATAATTCTGTAAAGTAAAATAGATTACATTTCATAATTTTTGCAGGAAACAGAAATCAAACAAAATTATTGACTGCATTCATGTACTTTTAATTAGCTTAATGCACTTGCAATTTTAGAATATCACATATTTATCCAAACAAAGAAATCTAATTGTACAAAATTGAATTATTTAAGAAGTGTATAGGAAACACCAAACGTGTATACACATATTAGATCCTCAACTGTACACAAGTATATTTTTCAAGTATGGACGGAAGATTATCAAAAATTAGACAGTCTTTATAATTCGTGAATCTAATTTTTTAACTTTGAAGCTAAATTCTCCCACCGTTTAGGTTTTATGATAACTTTGATTTCCGGTTTGTGACTGGTATCCATAGTTCCTGTAACTTCAAACAGATCGTCATCGATCATGACTTCATTGCTGGTAAATCTACATTTAACTCGCTTGAATACCATTGCTTCATCTTCTTTTTCATAGTACATTGTCTGAAACCAGGTTTTATTGTGCTTTTTGTATCCTTTATTGGTCAAACCCAATATTAAATAATTAGAATAAAAGTCAAAATTAAATGGAGCTGACCATGCGATTACCAAGCGTCTGTCCGTGCCATTGATTAACCAGGATACAGTTCCAGAAGTTCCAGTTGCAGTAAAACCACATTTGTGACTGACCTATTGTCAAAAGAAAACTATATATTGAATATTTTGCAAACCCAATAGATTGAAATAATACATTAAAAGCATGCATGCCTAATTTGAAACGTTGTAAAGTTCTGTTAATGAATTGACTTCATCAGGAATGCTTTACCGCCAAAAACTGTAAAAGGAGAAGCAGTGATGGTATTTTAATTATAATGATCCAAGACATGGAAGAGAGCAACTTCAATAAGGCATTTTCTTGCAACATTTTATCAGATTTGTTTCGTTTTCATGTTATTTGTTTAAATATTTTTATCTATAAATTAAATTTCGAAAATACAGATTTGCTTTCGAAAATACAGATTTGCTTAACTCTTTATCGTTACTGTGCCATATGATGCTAAGTTGTGTCTTGCAATTGCATGCATATGCTAAATAATGTGCATGTATATTTTGTTTCTATATGCATTGGTTGTATGTCTCATACCATTGCTTCTCGAGTTGCAGGTTGTATATTTGTTGCTGGTGATGATAAATATCCCCATTCGAGTGTCGTATTTGGATTCGTTAAGGTAAACTTTGTCCAGTTCTCTACTTGTATTCCGCAAACAATCATAAATCCAATATCCATTAAATGTGTAAGGGTAGACCGTAGTAAAGACGCACCGGAAATGACCTTAGATTCAATGACCTGAGACCATTCAGTCCAATCACAAAATCCTGTCAGTGGATGAAACCCTGAAAAAAATATTCGATAACCTCCTTAATATGTTAAAATAGAGAAAGAGAGAGAGAGTGATTTGCGGTAAACTCGACTGTGACGATGACAAACCTGCACAAGATTACCATAAGAGACATCTATTGGTCATTATCATAAAAAACGGAAATGCACGTCATGACACGCTAGGAATCCTAAGAGTCTAGACAAGTTGTGAACAAATTCATATGACTCATATTACCACCAAATTCTTAACAAAAACAATTGACAGGGACAACAACTGTCAATTTTCTTCAAGTAGGACAGGCAGATATTCATGTGACAAGGTTAAACAGGTTTCGTGAGTACTCAAACCTCCGTACATTTTCTAAAGCAGTGGAAAAAAAGATACAGATAATGACACACATTAAGATTCGAACTAGAATAAAAACTTACTTCAATTATGATGGTATTACAAAATACCAAAAAACACTATGAAAATATATCCATTAAATACAGTACCGAATTAAAACTTTTCATAATGTAATGATAACATTACATCATGGTTTAACGATTCCCAAATAGGTGTATGATACCACATTGCACATCAAATTTTAAAAAAGGAAAGGCAAAGTTATTATTAGTTATCTTGGTGTAATCAGGGGTGTACATAATTTAACACCGGTGCTGCAGCCGAAGAGTGTATGCATCATCAAACCCGGTATAAAATTTCGTACACCAAAATACTTTATTTCTTATGAAGCGTCCGTGATACATTTTTATACCGGGATGTAAAATTGAAAAATGCGTTTTTTGTCAACACCGATGTTGCTGCGCATTGTCAAATAATACCTTTTTAATTTTTCTCCATGTTTTTATTTTTTTTTTAATTTCGGAAACAAAATATTTTAAATGTTAGATTTCTTTTTTTTTTTTTAATTTTGGCAAAAAACAATATTTCTAATTCTTATTTATTTATTTTTTTTTTTTTTTGTAAATTGGAAAATGTGGTAAAAATTTGATGAAAATATATGTTCAAATGTCCAATTGTTTCAGTTAAAACATAGTTTCACCATTTGCTTCATTGGTGACGTATTTGTGGCGTCATAATGTAGGCGAATTTCATACAAACCTGATTTATGGCAGAATTTGCAAAATTTATGACAGTTTTCCGAAAAATTGACAGTGGTGCCACCCTTCGCCCCCACATATTTTTGCTGAAATATTCTTTATATACCATATTCTTTACTTTTCTAAAAATAATCTGTTTATAACAAATTTATTAATAAATATAAAGCAGATATACATTTTTTTTTAGCAATAGTTAAATACATTAGATTTACTTTAATAATAATTGAACTAATTGAAAAAAAAAACACCTTCATAGGGCCGTTTATTGGGGTTCTTGGTTGTACTTTTACCCCCGAGTAAACTGGGATGGGGTGTTATTTACACCAGGGCCATCAGATTGCAAGATTATTGCTTCATAAGAAATTAAAAAAAACACAGTATTCATTATTTTGAAAGTCAATGTTATGTTATTTAATACCAAGTGTAAACCCTTTCTTTATACTCCGGACCCTCATTGAGCAAAGTATTTCCGATTTAATATTTTAGTAATATCCCCAAAACTGTCACCTTAAGATATTAAAGGATAAGTGTTACCTTCATTGAGTCCATCTTGATCTGTGACGACGAAAAGCCCTGAAGAAGGATCCAAACTTGTGGAAGGTGGCATTACAACTGAGTTATTCTTTCGATTTAACATGATAGGAATTTTATCTTTGTTGTCCATGTAATAGATTTCCTGCATACCTGGAAACGCATTTTCTGAAATCGATCGAGGAGGCGGCATCACTTAAAATCGTGAATTCACTTAATCAAGAAAATAGTGAGTAATTGCAACTGTGTTATTTGCGCAGTCACAGTTGGAAAGCAAGTTCTTGGATACGTCCGTTGTCGTCAAGCTCTATCAGCAACAATAGCAGGGGGGATTAATTAGGTGGCGCTACAGTCGTCGATGACGTCAAAAAGTCCGCGAAATCAATCGGCTAAAAAATCGACGTTCAAACTATTTTTTTCAACTTGTCATGCTTTTATTATAATTGATTTTTAAAGTTTGTAGGTTTTGTGAACAATATAGTTTCAATACGACGTAGAAAAAATGTCGAAAATAACTTTCATTTGCTATTACTTCATCCTGTCCGTTCTAAAAATTATCAGCCATCTTTTTTGTTCGCCAAAAATATCGAATTTGAATAACTTGACGTTTGCGTATGCAGATACGGAAAAGAACGTTAAAAATTTTAAATGAAACCGGGTAACCTATCACCTATTTCAAATTTCTACACAATTTTGAAGCCATCATTTTTTACTCCAATACAACAATTTTAGTGACCACCAGTCATGTCAATTTGTAGCAGGTTTTGGCTTCGTTTCTGGTTTAAAACAGTGAAAGTTCAACTTCTTTTCATTGTACCTGTTTCCAAGTACTCTAAAATACTTATTTTATTAAAGATATGAATAAAATTGTGTCCGTTCATTATACTTATAAGTTAAAAACCTTGCTTATCTGATTATCTCTTTACTAAATAAGCCACACTAATAAGTGCAAAAAACTAGCTTATCAAGTCAAACAAGAACTTTAATTCATAAAGATGGTTTCTTACAAAATTGAATTTATTCTAATTCAAATGGCAAATTCTTGTCAAATTTTACAATCATTAAGTAAAAGGAACAAAATTTGTCCCAGTCATTTGTGACATAAATATCCAATTATCAAGGTAAAAGTATATAATACTTTGTTTATAAATATTAATACCAGCTGATACAGCAACCTGAAGAGTAGAAGCCCCATTTTATTTTTTCAAAAAGTTTTACTTTTATAATCTAAAAAATACCCTGCAAGGGCTACTAGCTGTGTAATTATAATTGAATTTTACAATAATAATGATTTTAAAATTCAAAATTATGTCACTTTTAAATCTAAGTATTATTTTTTTACAGAATTTCTGTCAATATTTTTGTTAAATTTATCCTTTTTGTGTAGGATATTTTTAGGCAGTACTGTACTGTTCAACTAAAAAACATAGGATTGAGCTAAATTGAAGAAACTATTGTGACTCTTGGTCCAACTTTTTAGATTATGAAATTTAAATGATCAGTTTTTATTATTTTTATTTCAGAAATATTATTTAAATTATATAAAGTATGTTTTTTTAGTCCGAAGCGATAGCCAAGAACCTTGACCTGGCTACAAGTGCAGAAAAAGTATACGGCTGGTTGTTACCATCCCGTTTATTTTGTTACTTTTGTTGTGTATCTGACTTGTACGACGTTTTTAATTAGAAAGTAATACATTTTGCATTTAAGACGAGCATAATTAAAAAGATTGAAAACCAAAAATTTGCATACCGGTTTATGTACCACGATGTTTGGAGATATTTAGTCTTTAATAAATTAGGGACTTTGCGTTAACACTAGCGCTTCTCAATTCCATTAGCTGTGTGCGAGTAAAATTATTGCTTATTCCTTTGATACATATCAGTGAAATAGGAGTAGATTGAAAAGTTGTGAGTGGGAGGGGGGGGGGGGGGACTTCTTAAAGTGACAAGCAAAAAAAAAGAAACTTAATTAATATTTTCTATCAGAATAGTCTAGAAATATGTTAATGTCCTCCTTCGTAGCCACTTTATATTTTAATAACAAAATACATTGCCAAAAAGGGGGCCTTATAGTTTTTCCCCTCACCTTTGCAAGTGTGTAATGTGGGTATGGTCCTCTTTCCCGGCTCCTACGCCACTGCATTTATATATACCCCTCCATACCAAGAAAAAAGAATACATACGTACAAACTAACAAAGCCAAACAAAGAAATATGTTTTGCCTCCTCCCTCACCATTTGAAAGGGGGGCAATTGCCTCCTTCCCTGGCTCATACCCCTCCCTATTTTCCAAAAAAAAAACAAAGAAAAAAAATATGAATAACAGATTTAAGAATCTAAAAATTCAACGACGTATGCAAATGAGATAAGAAAGAGTAAACAGACAAACGTAAATACAACATGTATAAATATTTGTCAAAAACAATTAAATAAAGAAACAAAACATACAAATATAAATAAAGCTGTTTCACTTTTTTACGGGCAATAACATGCAATGAAAAATAATTTATTTTGTCTCGTTTTAAATTTTTTGATCCACTTATTTTTGAAATCAATATTTTGTTGTTTAATTTCATGCTTATTACAGTAATGTGATATTCGAGTAGACCCAAGTATTGATCACGTGACACAATATTTTTTCCTTTTCCATCCCTATATCCGAAATGGGCGGTAGTTTATTGACGTTGAGACTGATTTTGTGCTATTACAATTCGACTTAAGAAAATTTCTTGAACTTCAATGGAAAAGGGGAAATCCTCTGTATAGTTCGATTTAGACGATTTAAAAGAGCTAAAGCAAACCCGTTTGTACATGGAAACATAACATGGTTGCAGTTACTCTTGCAGTCAGTAACTTCGTAGACACTTTATTTAATTTCAGCAATTTGGAACATATTTATAAAACAAGGTTATTAGGTCACAAGGTGTACGATAAAGTGCCTATGAACTCACTGAATGCACGAGTGACTCTATTCATAAAAAGTGTCCGTGTAACTTCATAAAACGTGTCCATGTAACACCCGTTATTGTAATGTTTTTCTATAGCTCTGCTAAAATGATTGTATATGAATAATGAAACTGAAAAAGCAGAAAAAAAATGAAGGGTCCGTGTGCTTGTTTTCGAGATTGAAAATTTGGCGGGAAATAATTCTCTCTAGATTTTTCATACATTTAACATTGGCACCTTTTTTCTTTCAAAAACGATGAAAAAATAACAAGGATTTTATAAGATTTTCAAAGATGACATTTTAAACTATATGTAATCAAATCATGGAAAGAAAAATAGAAGTTAGTAGGCAAAATTTTTAATGGCACTACATGGATAAAAGCAGAGGATTCCGAATATCTGGTAAAATTTTAAAAACAAGAGGAGCGAACATCCTATTTCTATTGATATTCTGTGATATTTTAGAACAGTACGCTGAAATTGAAGTATTACCAATTCAATAAGCTTTTCATATGTGTTATCAAATCAAACAACCTTTCTTAACTAAACCCACATAAAACTGCATATTTCTGCAGTTTACAAACATTGTTTTTACATCAAGTAACTTGCATAAACAAAACTATAGAATTAGGCCGTTAGTTTTCTCAATTCAATTGTGTCATATTTTTCATGCTGGGGCCTTTTATAGCCGAATATACGGTATGGGTTTTTTTTTCTCATTATTGAAGGCCGTACGGTTGCCTATAGTTGCTTACATCCACTTCATTTGAACTTTGTTGGATAGTTGTCTCATTGGCAATCATACCACATCTCCTTATTTTTATATAGAATGGAAGGTTTTCTGCAGATTAGAAACATTGTTTTCAAATCGAATAAATTGTTTAACCGAACCATCATTGCACATAAGGATTGATGCATGCAGATTTAAAACAATACTAAAGAAACTTCAGTAGTCAAGCTGCTACTTTTAATAAATATAACAATGACCGTAGACATAGTGACCTCAAAACCAATAGGGATCTTCTTATTCTTTGTCCCTATATATCCAAGTACGGTGTAATCACATATATAATTTACTGTAGTATTTGATTTAGAATTCGGAAACCAATTTTTCTGACAAATGTCGGTCTAGTTTTAGTGACTTTGTCCTTGACTCTTAACATAATGACCTCAAATTCAATTGCGATTTTCACCTCGTTATATGTGAACATATATCCAAGTAAGGTTGCAATCTGGTATGATAAGTATAAGATTTAGCTTCCAGAAACCAACTTTTCACATAATGTTGTCCTTTTTTGTTTATCTTTTTGTTGTTGTTGTTCCTACACTGTTTTCGTCATGATAAAAAGTATTGGGAGAGGACTTCTTTAATATGGTTATAGTTAGTGTCCTTTGCTACTTTTGCAAATAAAATGTGTGTAAACTAAACGAAAGGACTGACTACATTTTAAAGCTGGGTCTAAATTCTGAAATTGACGATACTGCACAAACAGGAAAAAAGTAATAAATTAGAAAGGTATCGGATCGTCTATAATTGACGATAATGTAAAATTATTGACCTCTTTCGTTCTGGCAGTAAAACCCTTGCCAAAGTGGGGTATTCATATGGCTGTTAGAAAATCAAATAGATAAAATGTCATGTACAATATCAAATAGAATCAACTTATTGTTCTCGTCCTGAATATGCATGAAGATAATTGCCACTAGACCCGAAGAAAGCAACAATTAATCAATCAATCAACTACTGAAGATGAAGGTCATTCTGCTCATTTTCGTTAATGGTTGTAACTCTTCAAATTAATCTACTTGAGAATGAGCACTTATATAAATTATGCAAATTGTAATATGAACAATTCAAAATGCATTGTAATCCACATACCTATAGAATGTAGGTTAAATTTGTTCAATGGAAGTCTTACAACCTTTCCTTTACAGTTCTGTATAGTAACATTATTGCTGTCCATTGTTAACGATCAAGGCATTGTCATTCTGCAAGTAAAGAAATTGTAGTTTGTATGTGCTGTTTGGTTGCGTCTCATTGATGTATACCACACATAAATATCCTTTTGTTCATAGTTAAAGATGTTAGCTCTTCATATTCTTTGAGACATTTATCATACCTTTCAACTTCTATTCATATTCCTTTGCGTAGGAATGCCAAACTTGATGTTACTTTGATATGATATTGATAATATTTGAATGCATTTTTTCTTATACATGTAGTTTTATGAGCCATGTTCATTTTTTTACATACAAGTACTCTTAATTGTTGATATAGGTATTCATTGAAATCCCACATGCAGCCTGTAGATATATATTTTCAATCCTGCTCCTCTGTGTAGACAAAGTCATAGTCATTGTTATCATTTACCACAAACACGTTATGATGTTTCAATAAATGACCTTTCGATTTATATTTTAGTCATTTGGTAAACATCGCATCCTCAAAACTCAATTGTATGCATAAATTATATAACCCAATTACAAAGTCCATTTTTTATCATTACGAGTTATAGCCATCGTTCAACATACTGGCAATCACAGCCTTATCTGTTGACATTGAAATATGTGACATATACGAACATTCCGTTCTACAAACTGCGGTCTTACCTCCATGAAACTATGTTGTTAATTCCACAAACAAAGCTCCAAACAATATAATTATGTATGTATATGACACTATCTGTTTATAATTACACCTTATGTAAGAATCCTGGGTTTTGATTGGTTGATAGCCAGTGTATTTTTCACCAATTTACTGTTATCAAATCAATATCGTTCATTTTTAACGCCGCCGGGGTATATGCAAAAAGGATATGCCTTTTTTACCCTCTCTGCCGTGGTATTTGCCAAAAAATACTCTATCCGACTGGACGCTTGTAACGTCACGATCATCAATGCGTTTTTGAACGTTAACATTCGGTGTAATTAAACAGATATAGCATGTTCTTGAGGGGTATTTGCGAAAAATACCAGTCATGAGAATGAATTTCCCTCGCCTTACGGCTCGCGAAATTGAACATTCTCTCGACTGGTATTTTTCGCAAATACCCCTCCTTAACATGATATATCTGTTTAAAATGCTGGATTCGGGAATTAAGCATTCTAATGCAACTTTTATGTAAAAAAAAATCATTGGCCAAAGTTTACCGTCAAATCCACAGTTGACATGTCGTAAATAAGGAGTGAGCCACCAGTAAAACTTCATTTAAAATTACTAAAACCAATCAAAACCAGGCTTCAAAGTAACTGCGAAATACCAACTATGGGGGGAAAGGGGGGGGGGGGGCGGGGGGGGTACGAATCAGGTGTAAACACTAAAAAATAGTACATGTAATCAGATCTCAGTCCCAGTTCTCGTGCAAAAGTTCAACTATCTACTCTTTACACGGATATTTCTCGTTTTAAACTCCAAGACAGGTTGAAAGAATTCTTTATACATTGTTTCATAAAATATAGCCAACATAAATACATATCATACGTCAAAAAACACTGATTGAAGCAAAATATTTTATCAAAAACTGACATCACCAGGATGTTGTTTTTTTATATCGACAACATACTTGTTACGTTTGGGGGAAGTTTTTTTCCAACAGACAGTCGGAATGCCTATGGAAACAAACTGTGCTCCTCTCATCACAAACTTGCTCCTTTATTTTTATAAGGCAGACTTTATATAGTTCCTTCTCAAGATGAATAAAAAGAATCAAAGGTTATGATCCTTTAACTTAACAATCCGCTAGGTAGATTGTAAAATTGAGAATGGAGATGGGGAATATGTTAAAGAGGCAACAACCCGACCAAAGAGCAGACAACAGCCGAAGGCCACCAATAGGTCTTCAATGCAGCGAGAAAATCCCGCACCCGCGGAGGTGGTCCTCAGCTGGCCCCTTAATAAAATTGTGTGCTAGTTCAGTAAAAATGGACGTCACACTAAACTCCAAAACATATAAATGAACTAAAATTAAACATACTAGACTAACAAAGGCCAGAGTCTCCTGACTTGGGACAGGCGCAAAAATGCGGCGGGGTTAACATGTTTTGTGAGATCTCAACCCTCCCCTATACCTCTAGCCAATGTAAAATAAAGAAACACATAGCAATACGCACAGTTTAAAAGAAGTCCGAGTCCTATGTGTTTTCTTTCTCAATTTTTCCATGACTGTGTTGTCTTTTGCGTCATATTTTTGTCGTAGATTATATAACCCTGTCCTAGAAATTAATGTGTTATCATTTCAAAATTTTACCTTAGGTAACATTCTATGGTTTGGGAAATTGCATATCCTGATGGTTAAGGATTTTGTTAATGTCTTATGGTTAAGATACATTTACCGATCTGCAATGGTTTAAACCTTATCACTGACTATAATATATACAATTTTAACATCATCAGCATGACGGCTATCGCTAATGGAATAGCAAATGAATTGATCCCCATTTTCCGTGTTGTCCAAAATTAATTTTGTTGTACAGTTTTCTGTATCGTTGAATATTCTTTGCCTTTGTTTGTTGTTGGTTCTGTTCGTCCTTCTTCAACTTGAAAGCCTATATTTTATTCATGCGTTACTTTACTTTGTCCCAGGTAGAAACAAATTGTTTAAGAAAAAGAAATTTTAATTGTTGATAAATTGTCGTTGTTCGATTTATTTCTTAATAATTTATTTTGGATGTAACACGTCTTCTGATTGGCTGAAAGTTTTTTGTCTATCAACTCATAGACATAATTTTGTCATGTGACCGTGACGTCATCAACGTTTTTTTTTCATGATTTACGCCTTAAAAATGGAATTTAGAATTAAATTATAAGGACTGCTTGTAATATTTTGTTCTGTCTATTCGAAATAACTCCACACTTTTAAATAACCCGATACGCGCGTTATACAGTGTGCACCACATTTTTGATTTTATTTCTTCACAGACAGAAAAAAATATTACATTCATTTCTGAATTGTATGTTTGAGGAGAAAAATAACAGTTGTGAATGCAATGTCTTGTCTGCAGTTAAGAATTTCTTACCTTCTGCTTTGTCGTGTCTATTGATGTCACAACAAAATGTCCGTTTGGTTTATTGGCGTTTCCATTCATTCATGTATTGACGTATAGAGCAACACGTGTATATATTAATAAATACAAAAATATCCGACCAAGGAAGTAAAATCGTTGATTATGTGTATAAATGATCATATATACTTGTATATAAATCACGAGATACGTATCCGGGATAAAAATACAATCACTTCTACTTAACATTTTTATACATTATATATAATCGACCCCATTACACTCCATACTTTATACTGTAATACTATCCTATATTGCTCATATTAATTTCATTTCTTTGTGTATTGTGTATTTTCACTGAAATATTATTGTATTATGATGTTTATGTATTTTGCCTGACAAGGGCCCACGATCGTTAAATAAAAAATGTCTAAGGTCCATTCAATCCTACTATAAAAAAAAGTTAATCCGCCTCGAAAAAAAGTAAAAAGAGATTTCAGGTAAACATCACTATGACAGACATCACACAGTTTCGTTAATCAATCTTTAGATGTCATCATACGACTTTTGGTCATCGACAAAAGCCAGCAAAAGGCAAAGATTCAAATTTTAGAGGCAAGATATGCATGTGCCGGAGATTCGACCTATTGATAATTTGGTCATTACAGACAGGAAAGATCTTAACAATAGTTGATCGTTGCAAACCATGTGAACTGTGGTGGGCAAATGGCTCTGAGTGTTATTATTCGATAAAGGTCAGCTATTTTAGATCTTGAAGTCACTACCAGTGGCATAGATCTTTTCTCATCGAAGGCCACTCTTTCGAGGTTTTCACTCCATCACTAGAGGGAAAAAAAGTAGTTTGTTTCTTTTACTATCAGCTGATAGTACATGTAACGTAAAGTTCTAAGGGGAATACATACTGTATGTGTTTCGTTATTTGAATCAAGTGGGTGACCTCATTGATAGTATTAAAATTTAAACTAATACTTTATATAGCACGTAGAACACTTCTATTACAATTTTTAGTGTCTTTTTGATTATTTTTTGTTTTTTATTTTGCTAAAGAGACAAATATGTTGTTATATGGGTGTAAACCTTCTTAAAATCCGAAGAAGCAAAGCAAAGAAAAAGTAACTTGTTATATTGAATCAAATCTAAATTGCTTCGAATTTTCTAGATGGTTATGACCAAGTAAAATGTGGATTCTCCATTTTTACAAAAACTAAGATTTCAATTATTCCTTTTACCTACGTTTTGGTTATTCATTCAAACTTATTCATGCACCTCACACGTTTTGACTCCGAGTGATCCTAGTGAAGGTAAATCCAACAAAACAAACCGAATGTAGGTAATGTGTTTTTGATTTTTATGTAAAACATATATATTTTCTTTCTTTTACAGTACTTCGGTACTGGCAAGAAAATACGGATAATGTTAGATATCGTAAAATTGAAATTTTCTGTTAAATTATTTTTTTTTTTTTTTATTTTTTTTTATTAAGGACTAATTTTATATCTCCATCATGCATAGTTCTGACTCGATCCTATAAAGATTTCTTCTGTAATGAAAAATGTAAATATGCTAGATATATACTTAATGGAAAAATGATAGAGATGATTAAAGCTGTAAATTTTCTTCTTGACAATATCTATATGTATATAAAAATAAGAAGATGGTCTGATTTCCAATGATAATACTCTCCACCAGGGACCAAATTACATAGAGGCTAATAAGATAATTGGTATAGAACAGTTATTGCGCTTTTGAACCTCACTCTTTTTAAACAAAAAAAATTCTACATGGGAGTATAAATCTCCTGTATACTCTTTTCTTGTTCTCCTTTTCGGAAACCGTCGAAGATATCATTTAATTGTTTTCTAAAATGTTTGTTACCTCCTCAAGACGATCTGTTCAGTTTGGACAGAAGCGTTCCGGTTACAAGTAATAAGAGTTATTTCCCATTTTGATGTTCGTCATAAATGGTATGTCGATGTAACTCATAAACCTTGAGTCATAGAGACTTAGAGTCTTGATATGAGGTCCTTGAATCATAAACATGAAATTGAGTTTAAGGTCAAACGTCAAGGTCATGATCTAAAATTTTTCTTTGCTTGTTATCACAAATTGTCACCGAAGTGTTACCTTTGTCCGTCCTTACGTACATCACAAACTTGGTTTCCGTTCTCCCTTACTTTAGTTTGCCCCAACCAAATGTTATGAAACTTATACACAATGGTTATTACCACAAAACACAGATCAAGTTCGAATTTGTGTGGCGTCATTTTACCGTTCTTAAGTTATACCCCTTTATAACGTTTTATGCAAGCAAGGGCATCATCTGTGTCCCATGGACACATTCTCCATTTATTTTCATAAGAGTTTTCTCCCCTTAAATATTCAATATAAATTGTTTGGTAGGATAACTTTTTAATCATACGTAATTATTAATCATACCTGAAGTCTTTGGATTAGAGATCTATGATCTTTTACCTTAAAATTGGAGCCAAGGTCAAAGATAAATTTGACGTTCTAGCTTTTGATCTTCGCCATGACTTCATACTTATAAGGTTGGACAACATATGACCTTAAGAAAGTCAAGTGAAAGTAACATTTTGTAAACTGGCAGAGGCATGTTTACACTAATTTGATGTCGAAGTACCTAGAAACCATATCATTTTTAGAATCAGTGTGATGTAACCTATAATGTTAAATGAAATTGATATTTTGTAAACCGGAAATAACATAGTCTCGCTCATTTAAAGCAAAAAGAATGAAGAAACTATACATTTGTCGAATCAGTGAATAAACTATTCATAGATGTCAGATCAAAATTTTGTACGACAGACGCGCGTTTTGTTTTCAAAAGACTCATCAGTGACGCTCGAATAAAAAAAGTTTAAAAGTCCAAATAAAGAACGAAGTTCAAGAGCATATTGAGGACCCACAATTCCGAAAGGCTTTGCCAAATACAGCTAAGGAAATCTTCTACTGGAAAATCCTTAGTATTTCGAAAAATTCAAAGTTTTGTGAACAGTTAATTTATGACCATATTAATGATATTTCATGTCAAAACAAAATTGCTGAATACTGGGCTAGTGATACACTCGGGGAGAAAACCTCCACCAGCAGTGGTTTTTACCCAGTGAAATGTAAACTATTATATGACACTAGGTGTAGAAGTAGACCAGAATTATGCAACTATCTCCCTCATTTCAAAGGGTAATAAATAGTATCCCAACATTTAGGTATCGGTCAAATGAACCGGAAGTGACATTTGGTTAACCTGAAGTAGCAAATTATTTCCCATATTTGAAGTAAAAGTTATGAAAACCCTATCTTTTTAATCAGTGTAATGTTAGCTATCATATGAAACCGGCTGTGGCATTTTTTAGACGGATGTAGTAAACAATCTCCTTTATTTCAAAGGAAAATATATAGAAACCTTACATATCTAGAATAACAGAAAATTGTTAACACTGAAATTGACTTTTAGAAACCGGATGCAGCTGATCGTCTCCCTTGTTTTGAAGAAAGAACTACAACTATTATTTTGGGAATCTGTGCAATTAAAGGTATTTTAGGATTTTTTTTAAACGGAGGCTACTTCTTAGTAATAGAAAAAAGGTTTGGGTCATTTCTGAATAAAAGTTCATTTAAACCTTGATTATAAACATGAAACTTAAAAGACTTTCAGTTGTTCTCTGAAGAATTGGTGTATTTGAAATTTCATCATATTGCATAAAGTATGTTAAAAATATTTAGCGTATGATGAACTTCAAGATTTTTAAAAATACATCATATCGTATTTTCTTAATGACCTTGTGGTATTTATACGAATAGTTAAAAAATCTCAATTTGCATTTTTTCAGTTTATGCAGACAGCAGTATATTGATTCCTTATTGATTTTTGTCGAGCCTGCGACTTTTGTCGCAAAAGCGAGACATAGCGATCCTACATTCCGTCGGGGTCGTCGTCGTCGTCGTCGTCGTCGTCGGCGGCGGCGGCGTCCACAAATATTCACTCTGTGGTTAAAGTTTTTGAAATTTTAATAACTTTCCTAAACTATCCTGCATTTCAACCAAACTTGGACAGAAGCTTGTTTGTGATCATAAGATAGTATCCAGAAGTAAATTTTGTAAAAAAAAATCCTGTTTATCCGTAATTTACTCATAAATGGACTTAGTTTTTCTGCCAGTTAACATTACATTCACTCTGTGGTTAAAGTTTTTCAAATTTTAATAACTTTCTTAAACTATCATAGATTTGTACCAAACATGGACAGAAGCTTGTTTATAATCATAAGATAGTATCCAGAAGAAAATTTTGTACAAAAAAATCCTGTTTATCTGTATTTTACTCATATATGGACTTAGTTTTTCTGCCAGTTAGCATAACATTCACTCTGTGGTTAAAGTTTTTCAAATTTTAATAACTTTCTTAAACTATCCTGGATTTGTATCAAACTTGGACAGAAGCTTGTTTATGATCAAAAGCTAGTATCTAGAAGTAAATTTTGTAAAAATTTATTTTCTGTTTTTCCGTATCTTACTTATAAATGGACTTAGTTTTATTCCAGTTAATATTACGTACAGTCTGCAGTTCAAGTTTTTAAAACATTTATTAGATTCATAAACCTTCTTGGATTTTTACCAAACTTGGACAGAAGCTTCTAACAATCAAAGGATAGTATCTAGAGGAAAATTTTTAATAATTTTTCCCCATATTTAGCTCACCTGGCCCGAAGGGCCAAGTGAGCTTTTCTCATCACTTGGCGTCCGTCGTCCGTCGTCGTCCGGCGTCATCCGTCGTCGTCCGGCGTCGGCGTAAACTTTTTACATTTTGAACTTCTTCTAGAGAACCATTGAATGGAATGAAACCAAACATGGTATGGATGTTCCTTATGAGGTGCTGACCGAGTGTTGTTACTTTGAAGCCGATCAATAATCCAAGATGGCCGCCAGCGGGGGACTTAGTTTAACATGGGACCCTATGGGAAATATATACAAATGTCTTCTTTTAGAGAACCACTGAATGGAATGAAACTAAACATGGCATGAATGTTCCTTATGAGGTCCTGACCAAGTGTTGTTACTATGAAGCCGATCCATAATCCAAAATGGCCGCCAGCAGGGGACTTAGTTTAACATTGGACCCTATGGGAAATACAAACAAATGTCTTCTTTTAGAGAACCACTGAATG